ACTTGTGTTGGGCAAAGCCGTGGTCTAGGCAACGCGGAGTTTTCCTCCGGGGGCTTCCCCGGTTTCTCTGTGGCATCCCAACAATTACTCCATTCACACACAGAAGGCAATGGCAAACCACTTCTGGATCATCTGCCAAGAACGTATATGAACAGGTCCCAGTCCGAGAAGAGAAAAGGATGGAAGGATCCTGTTCATATGGACCTGTCGTCAGACAGAACACTAAATAATAATAAAAAAAATACTTCGTACAAAGTATTCCTGGCTGTGCACTCACATTTGGGGAAGAATGCATCCTGTGAGCCGAATGTAAATAAATAAATAAAGACTTCACGATTGTTCCCAGGCACCAAAACATCGATAACAAGAGATGACACTATTTTACCATAAATGTGCTACGTTTGGTGTCGTCTCCTGAACACGAAAGAGAATTCTCAGTTAGGAACGCACACGTGCGTCCTCCGTGCACAAATCTCGTTCAAAAATGACAAAATAAGGCGAATTGCTTAACGGAATCGTGAGTTCTGCTGAGGACAAACCAAAGTGTGAAATCATTTCGCTGTAAACGTACGATACGTTTAGTGTGACAAAGAGTTTCTAACTAAAGCTGTGGGCAAACTCCATTACGTCAGCCGCTTCAAGGACACTGCATGAAGTCCACTGAACCATCACGGACTAAAATTAGACCCGACAAACTCGTAGAAAGTGGAGTTCTCAACCAAAGGTCCGCCAACATTTTTGTTCAACATTATCACACTGTAAAAAGAAAATATTCGATTTTAACCGAACGTTTAACAAAAACAAGAAACAAGCAAACAAACCTCTAAAAACAATCACTGAACAGTGTTTGTGACAATACGACAAAGTTGGCAACACTCGTAATGAACCGCCGTTAAACTCGTGGTGGCCTGAGGCCAACCACGGCCAACATAACGCCAAGTGTTAAAACCGCCTGAGGCCCAGAGGTCGTCGTCGCCAAACAATATTTACTCACCAAGACAGCAACGGTCAGCGGGTTAAAGCTCTTTTGAGGAAACGTTCGCTGGTTCTTTTCGTAATTCATACGAAACCCATACCAACTGTTAAAAAAATTCAGTTACTGAATGCTGAAGAAGGTGGTACATATAGTAACCACTGGTTTTTAAAGGGTTTAAGTCAATAAGGTGGCATCTACTGGTTCTAGAACTTTCTCACAAACCTAACCAACGCAATTACAAACTCCGGTGAACTGGATTCAGAGCCATCCACGTCTGTGTGGGCGAGGGCACGTCACCTACCAGCAGGTCAGAGGTCAAGACACGAAGAGAAAGCAACAAACAGTGTTCCCATATCACGTGCGCAAAAAAAAAAATACAAGTGTCGTTCGTACCGAATTTTGGATTCAAAACTCAAGTCACGACCAGAAAAACATTGCACGTGATTATAACGGCGGGTTTCTCAACAAGCGACGCACTTGGCGGGAAGAATCTCTGGTCTCGAGATTCGTTCGATTATAATCGCATTGCGTCAGATCGATCGATAATTATCCCAGGTCGCACTTCACGCCAAGAATTCGTATGACGCGCGCCCCGGGGGTCGAACGGAAGGGTTCGCGAGTCAATCAAACTTTCTACGAGCATTTTACATTTCGTGCCAGAACTCTTTAAAGCCTGAGGGGCGCGTCTTGGAGTCTTGTAGGCACTGACTCTCCTAGTTCCACGTTCGAAGTCGACGACAACGTCAAATCATTTGTTACGCGGAGATTCCGCAAATCACCAACGATGTTCTCGTGTTTCTGGGAGTCGCCTCGCTGCCTTCTACTGTCATTTCATGACCTCTGACCTCACCCCTGATACTTTTAGAGACTGGGGGAGGAGAGACGACGTACAAAGTTAAGACATGGTGACCTTGATACTTTGTACGTACGAGGTGCGATCGGAAAGTTTCAAGACTGCGAGTATAAAAAAAACCCGTACACTTATCTCAGGTATTAAATTCATCCATCACCCTCGAAGTAGTTCCACTGGGAGTGAACACAACGATCCCAGCGCCGCTGCCAAGCCTGGAAGCATCCCTGGAAATCTTTCTTTGTCAGCCTGTCAAGCACCATCTGCGATTCTGCCTGAATCTCTTCTATCGTCTCAAATCTCATTCCCTTTAGCTGAATTTTCATCTTTGGGAAGAGGAAGAAGGCACACGGCGAATAAGGAGGGTGCGGAATGACGGCCATGGTGTCTGAGGCCAAAAACTGGCGAACTTTGAGGGCGGTGTGCGCTGGCGCGTTGTCATGATGCGTCGCATGTGGAGTTCTTCCTTTAGAATCAGCTGACAGGTCCCATAGCCTATCCCAACAAGGTCGCACAAGTCGTTGATGGTACGACGTCGAGCTTCGGGAATGGCCTGCCGAATCTTCGTAACATTTTCGGGCGTTGTGCTCGAAGATGGTCGTCCAGAACGCTCGTCATCATCGACAGAGGTTCGGCCATTTTTAAAACGTGAATGCCACACAAAAGTTGGTGCACGACCCATTGCGGACTCCCCAAATGCTTGCTTGAGCATTTAATAGGTTTCCGTAGCCGTTTTGGCGAGTCTTTGGCAAAATTTGATGCACACGCCATTCCGAAATCGCACTACCAAAACGCCCGTAACTAAGAAACAAATGCTAATTCGAGGATGCCGGCTGGCACACTGATTCACTATGAATGTAGGCCGCAACTCCTAGCGGCAGAAGCTCGTACTACATCCGGTTCGCCCTCTATTGACACAGCCTTGAAACTTTCCGATCGCACC